ATGATGACTAGCTGCCTTCCCTCTAGTCTTACACTGCTAAATTAGGGACGGCTAGCGCAGATAGCCCTCGTGTAGCTTTGCGCGAAATTCCAAAACAAACAAATATTGACAAAAAAATCAGGAATAAGTTCTATAATAAAGAACAAAATCAGTTTCATTCTCAGTGTAGTTAAAACATGCACAATGTTTCTGATACAAAACACAGTTATCGCTGAGACCAATGTCACTGTGTATTCACAAAAGAAATATTTTAATATTATTCCAGTTAGGATAGTTGTTCTAACAATTATTAGGAGTGCTAATGATAATAAATAATTGAAATCACAGTCATAATATGTTTTTTTATCCATTATTACTAAATTAATATTTTATTAAAAGAATGTATTAAATTTGACAAAAAAAGATTACTGATGAAAATATCCAATTCTCAACCAATGTCATGTTATGCAGAACACCAGATTTTCATCTGCATGGTTTCTAGGTAGAAAACAATAAACTTTTGCAATTAAGACAGATTACAATGTCAAGATACCACCTTGTCTCTCTTTTTTAACCCGTTAACTGCGGATGACCGATATTTCCATCACTGAAGTGCTATGGCTCAGCTGCGAATGACGGAAATATCCGTCAGTTGCACATATATATACCTATAACTCTATGTGAATGACAATAATTACCGTTTTATTGTGACTGATGGCAACTCAGTTTTATCTGTGAATCAGAGAACGGCAACGAGCTGCTGCTGCTGCAGTTAATGGGTTAATAGAGACCAACAAATGTTCATCCTTATGATGTATATGTGACCAAAGTTTACTTTCTGTAGCAAAGACAGATTACAGTTTCCACACCAAGTTGTCTTTCTCTTAAAATCAGATCATACAGCTGTTTCTAATATTAATAAGTATAAGTTATGTATTGTAAGCTATTCATGTGGCACATACGTTAAGAATGAAAGTTTAAAAAATTAATTAAAGGCATAAGTTCTACACAGGGTTCTTTTCCCTTTAGAATACCCTAAAACTAGTGTGAACCCATGCTATTAGTTTTTAATGTATAACTGAATATAGATGTAAAAAATAGAAGAATAAAATACTCTAACTAAAAACATTTATTGGGTGATATTTTGAACAAACAGTCTTTGTGAGCTTGATAATGGGCACTTGTTCAAATGTGTTTTTTGCTTAGGTGATATTATTCCATTTGTATATTCTTTAACTTTTAATGACCTTCACATTTGTTTTGAAAACTTATGATCAACTACACATAGATCTATACTATAATTAAGTGTGTGAGACTCTACAGTCAGATATACAATAAAGTTCTAGTGTAATGGAAACTTTAAAACAAAAAAAAGCACAGTAAGAATGTAAATTGATCTATGAATAGGTGGGCACATTAAAGAATAAGCATAATTTGTGAATAAGTGTTTTGTAATACAGCCGAAATTATTTAGCAATATCACAGAAAGGAAGCACAATTCAAATCCCTAAATGCCACTTGTCATTTAAGTATATGTAAACAAATAAGGTTCATATCAGCTTTTAAAGAAAACAAGTGCATATATATCAAAACAAAATGAAAATTCAACAAACTATGTATATACATACATATATATATATATATATAATATATTTGTATACATCTTTTTATATCTAAACTTTCAATCATGTTGTGATGAAACACCAAAACCTGTATGATACAAAACACTATCAATATGCTTGAGGGAATTCTTTGAAAGTAATCCAATGCAAATTAAATGTCATTTAAGCCACAAATTTAAGTAAAATTTGACATTAGCTTGCAACTCTTCCAGTGTCTCTTCAATTCAAAGACTCTTTTAAAGGCCTTCTGACACCCAAAACACTTGTGTTTTTTTGTAGCTCTGTGCATATAATGACGATGAACCCTTAAAGAATTCACAGTACGAAAGCAGTTACCACACAAATTACAAAGGTAGTCTGTTTCTGGAACAGAAAAGCCAGCACTTGATGCAAAACTCCAATCATCATCAGGTCTCTGGATGGCACAACCTGGGAAGTAATTTATTTCACATGAGATTATTTACATATCAGTAGTGATAAGTAAAGCACAGTGCGGTCTGTTATGCATTTTAAATCACTCATTGTATACAAGATAGTCATTACATAAAAAGCTTATCAATTCTATGGAAAAACCAACAGGTAACACTCACCAAAAGCCACACTTACTGATGTATTTCTTTGAATTCTCAATTTAAATGATTTTCAGGAAAAATATACATTATAGCTTTCAATTTTTATTCTATGACACACAAATGATCAAACAGTAGAAGGTGCATGAAAGTGCTGACATCTGGATTCATGTCTCTGTAGGTGTTCTTTCCGCTTGAAAGTTTTTGCACATATAGTACAAATGTAAGACACATTTCTATGCATGAAGTAGTAGTGGTTTCTTAGACAACTGGTTGTCTTAAACACTTTAAAACAAAAAGGACATTGGTAACAAACTCCTCGGTTGGTAGCTATGGCCATTTTCTTCCAATTTATTCTCCCTAAAATAAAAACTTTGTTAGACAGACTGAAAAGATGCTTTACCATCAACTTATATTTACATAAATTAGATGCACTTAGATTCATGAGAAGTTCACTTTTTTGTTTAAATAATGCCAGAATACACATTTTATCACTGACTGTGGTAATATCCACATTAATACAACACATTTTTCCGGCTTCAAACATTTCACGATCTTCATCATAGCACTTCATGATACATCTTGCTATAACTGGTATAAGAATTATCATACAAACATCAGTAATATACACAAAGAGATGATTATTAAGAATTTATGTCCAAAAGTACACTATCTATACAGATGCGATTGAAAATAGTTAAACAAGAGGGAATTTTCAATAGCCATGGCAGTTGAAATTCTTTTAAGCAGGATTAGAGTAAATTAATCTATGAGACCTTGGGTGTGGTCAAATATATCAATTGAAAGGTTTGAACTTCCTGAGTCCAAAACCGTAATTAGATCCCAAATTATGACAGAGCTATGAGCTAAAAGTTTGTACTTGAAAAAAAAAGCAACAACAAACTCAGAGCCATTCTATGAGCTGCTGTGCTGTGGTTAAAAACACGAAATGAAGGCAATTCTGTATAAGAAACTGGCCAGATCTACTTACTCTGATAAATCAATATACCAGAAAACAAAACCTATAATGATTAACTTGCACTGAATCATCATTAGGGTACTTTCACAATTAACAATACTTTTTTCCATAATTCTGTACATTTCATGTGAAAAGTGGGATCATGTTTTACAACAATGTCTTGAATATACATGAAAATTTATTCACATAAATGAGCTAGTTAAAATAAGTAATTTTGTATATACAGCAATACACATTCACCTCACCATCATTCTTCCTAAATCAAATATCTTATTCAACTAGCTGCCACATTATAATAAAAACCTATTTTCCATATATAAAAACAGCACAACTGCACACTGATTTTGTAAAGAAATATTCAACATATTTTAAGTGTTCAGAAATAGATTAAGAGTAGATATGTGCAACCTATTTCTCTCTTATTATCCCCCTCTCCCTTCCTCCCAAGTTTATCTATACTTCTTGCTAAGTATTCTCCACTTAGTAGCACATACCAAGAAACTTATCGATTGAATGAGAACTAATGAAAAAGGGGATTTTTATAATCCTTAGAAAACACAGGTGTTAATATAATGACAACCACATATGGTACAACTAGGATAACTTACCCCTTTTGTTTTTTGCCAAAGCTTTGAGTTCTTTAGTTTTTCTTTCTCTAATGTTACACTAACTTTATGTATAAATGTGTATCTAATATTTTATATTTAGCCTCAAGCAACATTTCTTTCACAGTAACTTTAAATTATCTTACACATGAGCACCATATGCATACCACACATACATGTTCACAAAATCTCTGGCTATTTAAGAGAGATTGACAAAGATATTTTGTCTTATGTTGTGCTATATGTATTGTGCAATCTCCACAACCACTGTGACATGGTAATGCAATAACACCTTTTCTCCCTCTTTTTTTGATGCTTCATGAATCCATTCAGACTTATGTGCCATTCAGAAGTGCAATGAGAACACCAGAAAATTCAGTAGAATCAAAATAAGAAGAGGACATATTGTAATGTTAATTCAATATACAAACACACTGAGCTGGTAGAATTTCTAAGAATGATTAAGTGTAATAATACCTTGGATCTTTTAGATTTAGCTGATGCTGAGACACTTGAGAAATTAAAATTACCACACTCCACATTCTGTTTTGAAACAACATTTTTGGTCAAAAATGCTTGTATTTTTTAAATTTAAAATAAAATATTATTAGAGTTCCAATATTTTATATTAAATTTCTGACAACTGTTGATTTCATTAGGCACTGTTCTGTAAGAGAATGCAAAGAGATGTTTCAGAGCCATTTGTTAACTCAACCCAAAACTTGATTGAATATAGCCAATGTTATTGATTTGTATCATAGAGTGACTGGATGTAGTTGATGTGACTCAATCCAGAACAACAAATGAACAAACCATTCTACAGTTAAAAACAAAAATCTCAATGCTCAAAAAAAGCTCTCCAAGTTTTACACGTAACTCA